AAAACTTTGGAAGTGGGGAAGAAGTGTCTCGTCTCATGCAGAAGCAGATGACAATGAACCCTAGGAGCAAGGGAATGAGGCGGAGATTGAGACTCAGAGGGGACTATAGGAACTGTGGCAACATACTGTCCCTTCAGTCGTTATATTTAGCACTTTAGAAATACTTGAAACCATGACCCATCCATAATTTTCCTTCAGTGGAGGAAAGAAAAACTTAAGTTTTAATATTCTGATTTTTAATCATATGCTGGAAACTCTGTGAAACGCCGCTTCTTCTAGATCTCAGGAACCTTTGAACTGAGATGACCTGGTATTACCTGTTTGCATTACCAACAGATTGATAAAGAAATATTTTATGTTGTGAAAGTACATTGTCTGTATTTAGTAGGGTGCTCCTCTCCTTTCCTTCAATGCTTCCAACATTTAAATTCTATTTTTATTTTACTTTTTTATTTTAAAGATATGGGGTACAATTCAGAGTTAAGTATACAAATGTTCATTATGCAGGTACCCTTGTTGATGAGGTGTGCCCCCCTTCTCCCCCGACAGAATCCCACTACTGCCAATCCCTCCCTTCCACCCCCGGCAATTTCCCACTACTGACAATCCTTTTCTTATACTATTACGCTAATTATCCAAGGTCCACTTATGAGTGAGAACATATGATACTCAATTCTTTGTTTCTGTGATAGATCATTCAGTATTATAGACTCTAAGTCCATCTGAGTTACTCCAACATTTAAATTCTAAAAGGCAGAGCAACCCAACTGAGCTTTTCCGCAGTCTTTCTAATTGGCTGTCACTGCTGAGCCTTGTAGTAAAAGACATGTGCAGAAGAACGCATCCATAGATTTGTTTTCCTGCAGACTAGCAAGCCTCACCTTGGAGGAGGAGTTCCTTGGAAGAGGAACTGGGTAAATGCTTGCATAAACACTTTCCACCTGTGTTTTACCCCTTTCTATCCATGTGAAGTGAACCTTTTTCCTACTTAACCAGCAAATGTTTTTTCTCCTTCCACTATATAGGAGACTGGCTAATTTTCAGGATAAAATAATGCAACCAATTAGGAATTAAATTACCCAACCTGAGGCAAAAATAATGTTGACTTTTTATGATACAGTACATACACACACCTTGAAATTTAGAACATGTCAGTTTAGTGGTTAATGATAACTGAATAAAGGATAGAAAACCAACGATGTGGATGCCATTTCTTCAGGCTGGCACTCTTTTGTACTAAATCCTCCCAAATGTTTATAATATCATCTGAGTATTTTAAGGTTTTCTTACAGGTTTAGAAAGCATTCACATTCACTTTGTTTTCTAAATAATTTTTGTGATAATAAATGTAATATATGTTCACTGTAGAAATTTTAATAAGTTTATAAAAGTAAAAAGGCAAAGAAAAATCTTCATTCCTCTCCCTGGAGATAACCCCTTTTAATATTTTTGGTATATTTTTTTCTAGACCTTGTCTATGAATTAAAATTAGCATTATATTTTTCATAACATTTATATCAGTTTCCTCATATGATATAATAAACATCTCTTGTTATTATTAGTCTTTAACAATATTAACAGTGCATAATATTTCATAGCTTCTTTATTTCATAATTGTTATACATTTATGTCATTTCCAAGTCTTCACTGTTTTAAGCATTCTTTTATATTAATTCTTTGACACTATCTATAAAATCATTCTTTAGAATAGATTCCTGAAAGTAGAATCACTGGGTCAATAGGTATGAATATTTTTAAGGATCTTTGTAAATTGCTTCCGGAAAAGTTATATGCATTCCTAATTCTCCTTGCTACATAGGAGCATGGCCTTTTATTTCTTTTGACTAATTGATCTTTATGGCTTTAAACTGCTATTAGCTTGTTACTGGGTTGGCAAAATGTATCATTTAGAAAAGCTTCATGTAGTTGAATTGTTAAATGCCACACAAGTGTTGGAATATTTTTTATCCTTCTCTGTATCGGCCACATTGGACTCTTGAAAGGGATGTATTAATAGGCAAACAATATAAGAAAAACAAGGCATAGAAAAGTCATTCTAATAATTAAAAATACAAAGAAAAAATGTATCTAACTTATAAATTAGCATGTGAAATATTCTATATCATATTCATCCTTGTATCTATGGTGCTTAGCAACAGTGCCTGGCATATAGATATTACTATTTATATAATGAGTAAATGAGTGTATAAATGAATGAATGATTAAATGAGTAAATAGCAAATAGGCTAATTTGGCTTGCTAAGTTGTTGACAGCTATTTAGAACATATTAAAGGATGTTACCACTTTGGGTTGTGCTAAATGATTTTCTCATTTAATGCTTGGAATGAGTAGGTGTTAAGTATATTTTATATGCATGTTTATGTGAAGGAAAGCAATAATTTAGAGAAAGAGCAGTGGACTTCTTTCATTTGTCCTTATTTAATGTACTCTGTCAATTTGGTGGAGTTCTTTTAGCAGTAACTATTGGAATTAAAGAATATTGAAATGATCATCAGATCTAACTTGCTATATCCACATTTACAAAGGTCTGAAGACAACTACTATTTTCCGGATTTACATCATATGAAATATGAGATTGAAGATGGCACTACACCTAGTGGAAGAGACCTTCGGTTTGGATTTGATCCACTGGCATTTCCTGAGTTTAGCTGGAGAGGATACGCCCAAATGACTTCATTACAGGTATGCAGCTGGTAGGAAACAGTTTCATGGCAGAGTAACTCGTATACTTACCCATAGCATTCTTGGCCAGCTCCCCAAAGATGACTTGTCCCCCAACCAGGTTCCAGGATACCTTTTCTCCAGAGTCTGGGTTGGGATTGGCATTAAGGTTAAAGTTAGGGCTTAACTGATGAGCACATATGTGGATTTCGTACTTCATTGTTACTTCAATTTGGTCACCAAATCAGAAAATAAAGGGCTAAAAGAAAAATGGTGTTTATCTCTGGAGAATTTTTACAAGAAGAAAGTTTCCTAAATTACATTAGACTATATTACATGAGAGGCATTTTTCTTTAAAGCCATTTGTGGAAAATAAAAATGAGTTGGCTTAAATAATTCCAATACATCTAGTGTTGCTAATTTGGGGCTGATGCTTTTTTTAAACTCCAAATGACTAAGTGAAAGGAAACTAAGATAAATGATGAGTGTTAGTTAATACTATTTAATTTTTCTCCTTTTTAATATTTCTGCTTTCTTTCATTCTTCTCTATTGTATTCATCTATCTTGGCTTTGCATTAGAATGAGTAAGGGAGTGTATGCATTCTTTGTTTACCTTTAGAATTTATACAGTATTTACAAGTAAAAAACCCTGTGTAATCATCGAGTACTTTTGTCCTCAGAATATTTCTCTGAGTTTGATCTCTTCAAACTATTGCTCAGTGGAGAAATTCGGAGTAAGATAGATAGACTGATGACCATAGTAACCCAGTAGTCAGTCTGTAGAGAAACTGGGGCAGGCTTCTATTGATTCTAGCACTGTTTTTTGCAATCCAAAGTCCCCCATCCAAGCTATCTTTCCCAAATAGTACTTACAATCTTAGGACACCTCATTCTTTCCCCCTTCTCCTCAAATATAGCAGTCAGCTTCTTTAGTGCCCTGATCTTACTTTATTATTCAGAAGAAAAAAAAAAGCAGTGGATTCCATTGACAATAGGATGTGGATGAATGTGAACCCATCAAGGTATTCTCACAGGTGTTTACAGTTTGAAAGAATACCCAGTAGATGCAAAGGAGTGAATTTCTAATGATGGATTTTCTGAGGAAGTTATTTTGGTCAGAGTAAGTTCAAGGAAGCAGTGTCCCTGAAATCACCACTTACTTTACGCTGCTCCTAATACATTTTTGCGTATTTACTTTCATCTTGGAACTAATACGTAACAATGAATTGAGGCAAATTACAAGGGTCAGCAGGATTTCTCAGTGTAGGCCACCTGAAGCTCCTGCTTCCAGAGCAAGTGATCCTACTCAAAGTCAGTCTTTATTGTCAACAATATCTCATTCAACACACTTCCCCTTCCTTTTAACCAAAGGAGCTGTGGGAGAGACCCAAAGAACCTCCTACTTGGGAATTTTCAAGCTTCATGAACTTTTCTTGAACAGCCAGATCTAGACGTGTAGTCTGTAGTTGGGAATTAAAATAGTCTACTCTTCCCTTCAAGATCACAAGCTCCACATTGCTTACTGAAGACTGTATGAACTCAAACCCTGGGGACAAACAGACTGGCTCTGTCAGGTTGATAAGCCAACATTGCTTTTGCATAAGATATTGGGCTAAAACATAAGACTTAATAGGCATATTTTAGTTACATCTTTAGTTACTTATCACTCTCTTCAGGGGTGGTGGTGTGAAATAATACACTCTCCTTTCCTTCTCTTTTGCTTTTTATTTTTCCCAGCCAGTGGTGGTTGCCCTGTCATTGTGATTTTCTTAAACTAATCCATCTATTACTCTGCTCTGTCTGCCTGATTATAAAAAGGTCAAAAAAGGATCTCAGTGCTGAGAGAGTACATTTCCACTGTAACCTTAATTGTAAGTGATTTAAATTCATCGTTAGGCTTGTCCGTTTCCATCTTCCACACAGTTATTTCGCACTTGTTGCGTGGGTGTGAATGTGTGTGCATTGGTGTGCATATGTGTATATACAAGTTCAATAGTGAAATTCGAATAGAATGAATTCATTGGCTAGCGTGTCTTTTAACTAGCTGCTTCTTCTATACTTTATGGCTTTCTGGTATTTTTCAGAATGATGTAAGAATAACATTGAATGTGGAGATGTCAAATCGCTCCTTGTTTTGTGTTATTCTGAGATACGTTAACCCTGGAACAGAAGCAGCATCTGGCCATATAAGTATTTATCCTTCCTGGTCTGAGGCAGGTAGGTAAAATTTCAAGCCTCTTTTCAATTAAGAGGTGATTGAGTAGGGAAACATTTTCTCCGACTTTCACAAGGTTGATTATCTTTAAAAATGTGAAGGCTGGTGCACAGTCTGATTGGACACTTCTCTAGGTGCTCTGTCCTCTGTTACCTTCTCATTCTCTAAACAATCTACTTATTTATATTTTGCCATTAAATTATTAACTATCATTTTTAAAAAATTGACATAACCTGTGTACCTTGACATGGGTTATGATGTCTTCACTGAGCAGGGCTAATTTATAACTCATTCATGGTGAAGTAGGTGCCCCCTCTTTGGTGTTATTTGAGAGACTTTGGGCTGCTGCCCTGAATTCTTCCATTGGTTCAAGCAAAGCAAATTGTTCAAAGAGCAATGAGTGAGCATAGGAATTTTTAAGATGAATACCGTAAGGCATGAAGCCCAGCAGAGCTCCAGGAGGGAGCTGCCAACCTCACTCAGGGGTGCGGGAGTCCTGAGGGAAGGAAGACTACAGAACAGGGCACAGCTTCATCAGAGGCAGGGAGAAGACCTGGAAGTCTGTTCTGCAAGGAATTAGGACCTCTGTCCATCCTGGAAACAGATTCCAGGAAGCATTTAGAATCCCACAAGGACACAAAATAGCACCAGTGGAAATCTGATTTAGGATCAAGATGTAAGCATCTTTGTGTACCATCCAAGGCTGATTCGGAATTGGGGGAAGAAATGACATCATTGCCAAGTTGTCAGCCAACCTTGCATGACTGAAGGTTAATTAGCCAATGGGAAGAGTTAGCAGGCTTAACTTTATCATTTACAAAGTACTCTAGCATCCATTTCCTCACGTGATAAGAACGTTGCAAACCAAAAAGGGTTGAGGAGGAAACAGAGCTAAGAGGTTTAGTAAGCTGCCTAAGCACACTGCTGTTCTTTGTAGGCAAAGTCTTCAGATGCCAAACTCTTTCTACTAGGCCCCTCTGCCTCCTGGGTGAAAATAACAACCTGCCGTCTGTTATACAAACAGTTGGAAGACATTTTGGTTTGTTTCCTCATCCCATGGGACACCTGTTTCCCAAGTCTGAACCAGGAGCCCTCCCAGATACCAGTGTCCAGACTGTACCACATTCTCCTGTCTTCTAATCTGTATCTCTTCCCTCCCCTGTCTCCATCATCAGGGAGTAAAGGTCATGCTTGCTGTATTTACTGCCTTGTCTCCAGAACTTAGGTCCAAGTCTGGCACATAGTGGGCCCCAGAGATGTTTGTAGGACAAGAGTGAATGCAGGGATTTAGAGTGAATGTTTCTTCAGAGGAAAAACATCTCAGTTGAACTCAGATGCAATGATTTTGTTTCGTTTCTGAACTTTTTGCAGAGTGTTTTCTTTTTGTTTTATGCAGAGAAAGCAGGTTGTGTCCTAAAACAAACAGGAAACCAAAACTTCTTCTAACTATAAAATGAATGTATGTCCACTAATAGAAATTATAATTCAAAAATCACCTACATATACTGTAGTTCCAGTTATTCAGGAGGCTGAGGCAGAAGGTTCACTTAAACCTGGAGTTTGAGGCTGTAGTACACTGTGATTGTGCTTAGGCAACATAGCAAGACCCCATCTCTTTAAAAATAAATCACATATAAACAAGAAAGGAGAAAATAATTTAATAGCTAATGTAATATATTGAACACTTATTATATACAAATAACTTTTCTATAGTTTTTGTGTATTAATCAACTTATTTAATGAGTTAAATAATTCATATCCCCATGTAGATAACTATTGCTGACATCAATATCTTTCCAGTTTATTTTATACATATGCATAGGTATTTGCATGCATTCAATTAAAAAAATAAGATCAGTAAGTCTGATCAGTGCATATTATCAGTAAACCACCTTAAAACTTCGTGAGATATGAACTGAATGTTCAAACTGAATATCTGAAGTCATAACACTGACTGATAGAAAATGCCCTTAGCAGTTCTTTGTATTTCTGATAGGTGCTGCTCAAAGCAAAAAGATCATCTTCCTGCCAAGTAAGGAGCCAGCCTTTGTCACCGTTCCCGGAAATGGTTTTGCAGACCCATTTTCAATCACACCAGGGACGTGGATTGCTTGTATTAGGGCAGAAGGAGTCCTCCTGGTAAGACTTAGTTCTGAATGGAGAGTGCTATGGGAATCCTTTCCACTGCAGAGATGGTCCTATCCAAGACTATGAGCCACAGTGACCATTGGATCCCAAAGTCATAAGAGGTTTTAGTCACAGGAACCATCAACTTCAACCCGAGGAACCTATGGTGACATTTGTCCTCAAATGACATAGGAACCAATTTAAGGTGTCTTTTATGTTTGTCCAGCTAACTTCTCTTGGAAAAATAAAAAGAGAAACATAAAGACTCAAAGTTATGAGAACAAACGCAAAACCTTCATGAGCAGTGTCCCTGCTCTTCCAAAGCTTGTTTGGGATTTGCCAATGTGAAACAGATGGATATATAAACAAATAAACCTGCACAAGGAAGTCAGAAGCACCTAGAGGATGAGAAGACTTTCATTTCAGTGAAGTTCTCAGAGATAGAAAGAACAGGAAGAGTTTGAAGGAGCCAGTGCTTCTCCGTGACACTCTGTGCTTTCTTCTGCCTTAAACCTAGGCAGAAGTTTCACCAGATTGCCTTCCACAAAGAGCTCTTCATCAAGGGAAAGACTGGGTCCATGAACACTAATAGAATATTCAGAGAAGCCATGGGGAGTTGGAAGGATTAAACCTGTTCTCTGAGATAGCCCTTTTTGCTGTGTGATTTGAGGTCTGCTTTAATTTATAGCACGATGGTGTCACAATAAAGTCTTTGGGTCCATGCACCCAGAGTGGAAAGGAGAAAGCTTTTTCTCATGGCACAACCCCACTGGTTGGCCACATTAGCAAATCTTAGGCAAGTCCCTTAACTCAAATCCTGCCTCAATTGCTTCTTCCACACAGCAGGAGCAGTACTTAGGAAAACGGTCCTTTCCTAATCTGGCAGTTTACAAAGATAACATGAAGGTTACGGTGTCCATTCAAGACAGCATAAGAAGAACAAGAAGTCCCTGTTCTTCTTGCATCTTCCTAGTAGAAAGTTTTATTGCTTTCAAAAGCTTAAGAATGTTTCAAAGATGTTAGAAATGAAAAAGAGGAAAATTCCAATGATATCAATAATAGGTACAGAGTTGGACTAATGGAAAAAAAAAGTTCATTATAAAAGTTACTACCTAGGCACAGAAGAAGCTTAGTGACATTTAATCCATGCGGTTAATTAGTGTATGCTTTCCTATTATGATCTCACTTTCCCTAAAAAATATTTTATTGATCACCTACTATTACCCTTTACTGTTCTAGGATCTAAAGGACCATAAAGTAATGAGGAGATGTGGTCCCAGCCTCAGGAAACTTACTAACAGAACAATAACCATTTAAAAATGTAAGCTCACTTGAGTCCCCTGAGCCACAGTCTCCAACTTCTCCCCTCCCATACATTTCTCTCTGAGATGAGAAGCATTACAGTCCATGTGTGAGTCTCTTCGTGGTTGAGGTAAACATTCCCTCCCCAGTTCCCTCCTCCCATATGCGGTGCTGCCAGGACTGCTGGGAGCTGCTAGTCATCCACATCTCAAAAGCCTGCAGCTCTGCTCTTTCCTGAAGAGCTGCTTAGCTGAATTTACGTTGTGGGCTCTGCTTGGCACATTCAGTGGAACATGTTCTTCCTCTCATTTCTTGGGACAGGCAGCTGGCCAGTTCTAATCTATGAATCACCAGGATCGCAAGGCATCACTTTTCATACTGTGCCAATTGAGCGTGGCTCGGGCATGGGGGTAGACAGCCATCACACATGATCTACAGTCGCTGTTTTGTGCTGATGAAGGCAACCAGCATTTCCACAGAACGTTTTCATCAATCGGCAATTTATTATCTTGGTTAAGTTTTGAATTTATAAACAACACAATTTATAAACAACACAAAAGAGACAGTAAAATTTCTCCTGAGATTTGAAGAAAAACATTCACACTGAGGAACTTCTCTCCATTGTGTACGGAATCTTTGATGAGTTGCTCTGTGTGTTCTGGTGAGTCAGCGAGAAGAACAAACCAAGTTGATATGGAGAGTTTAATTAATGACTTCACCTGGTTATTATTAACTAGTATATTCTATTATTTTATTATGAGAGTAGGGCTACTATCCAAATGACTCTTTTTTTTTTTTTTTTTCCTCTTTATTTACCAGGATTACCTGGTGCTGCTCCCCAGGGACTACTATGAAGCACCCGCCCTGCAGCTGCCGGTCACAGAGCCATGTGCCTATGCTGGATCACCCCAGGAAAAGTTAGTATAGGACAGGAGATGCAGCCACAACATCACTGGGGTCTTTGAACTAGGAACCTTTAATGCAGGGATCCGTGAGAGACCTCAGGATCACAGTTGCAGCATGATGCTCTGGAAAATTATTTGTGAATTTTCCCCTGATCTTACTCGTGTCCTTCAAGTAAGAATCACAAAGCACTTTGCACACTGTAGCTGGCTTAGGAGTGGTTGCCACCCCCAGCATGTGGAAATGTTGGTGCATGCTTAAGTAGTACCCTCGGGTTCATGCATCCGGTGAGAGGAAGAGGTTAAGGTAGGATCCAGGTTTGTGGACCTCTGTCTCTTCCCTTCCTCATTCAGATGAAAATGTATTGCTCAATTCCTGCAGTAGACACTTAGTAAGAGTGTGTTGAAGGATGATGAATGAATGAGCAAGTGAATTGAATGACTAAGGGTCGCGGGGGATGCACTTTGATATGCTGCTTCATGTTTTCAGTTGTAATTATTGATTTTGTTGTTGTTGAAGTTGCTTGCTTTACCAGCATTTGCCAGTGACCAGATTCCCCTGTACCCTGGCTTGTGAGGCCAGACACTTCCTACTTAATGGGGCGCCAAGACCCCTGGCAGTGAGGCAGCCCACACCTACACACCCAGTCATGGTGGACCTCGGCGGGAGAGAGGTGGGCATAAAGTCTTTTGTTGACTGTCAAAGCTTTTACTTCCTCCCCATCTGTGTCTGCAGAAAACGCTTGGCCACAGTTGCTTCTCAAATTCAGGGAAACCTGAAAGAATTTCTCAGAACTGTGATTCAACATTTGCTGAGTTCTCTGATTTGGGTTGGGGCGGGATGGTACACCACATGGAGCCATATTAAGGTTGTTCTTTAAGTGCTTTCTAGACATCGCGTGGGATTTGGGCAACCGCAGAATCTTTACCTCTTGGTTACCTGGACTTACAAGGGCATTCTGTTTGACCTGATTTGGGCAAGATCTCTCTGAAAGGACATAGATGTGGCTCAATCTAAAAGGCCTCCAGAAACTACACAGCTTACCCTAAAAGGATACCACACTCACTAACTCTTCAACCCTTAGGCTAAGCAATTTGTAACAGCTAAATTCCTTAAACTCAGACTCCGGAACTGCTACACCCCAAGGCACCTACCTCATGGCTTGGAGGACAGGTTACTACAGGTCTAGGCATTACTGTTCTTCCAGGAGTTCTTTGAGCCTCATAACCAAATTTATGACTATACTGATTTGAGATTTGAATTAGAAGTACAGTATATCAACAATAACAACAAGAACATACAACATTTCAAAATAAAGACACTGGAAAAACACTTCCTACCCTATATTTTCATTCTTTACTTTCTGTAACATTCTCTGTTTTGTGCCTTTGGGGAAAATGTTCATTTGGTCATTAAATTTGTAAAATGAAGATATACATGAAATTGATTCTAACTAAACATTTAGATGTGTACATTTTTGTTAACTACATTCCTAACACTTTGAAGGTAGCAGCTAAAGGGTTTTAAGTTTATTTTTTGAGGGATTTTTATTCTACAAAATAATATATGCTTGTTGTAACAAGAAAAACGATATCGATATACATAAAGACAAACTAAATGGTCTTCCTTCTACTTCATGATAGCATCAAGTTTGTTGCATTCCTCCCTATGTATGCTGTGCATGTATACATATATGCATGTGTATAGGTGTAGGTTTGTACATACATTCATATATACATGAAAATGCAGACACACACATATGTACAGATAGATGTTATGTCTATGTTTGTGTGTGTATTTGAGTGTGTGCGCTCCCCAGACAACAGGGAGGTACAGTTGAGAAGGACTGACCTCCAGGAAATGATGCTGATGGTCCATCAGGAGATATCCTCATCCCTAATTTAGCCTAGAGTCACAGCACTGAGTTGGGCTTCTTTTGGATGTTGCATAAAATTAAGTTCTGGGCTGTCCAGTTCCATTGGACTGTCCTTTCTGCTGTTTTATCTGAATGCCTACAGACTGGCTCTGTGATAGAGTAGTCACTAGCCATATATGACTATACAGGTTGAGCATCCTAAATCTGAAAAGCCCACATCTTAAATGCTTCAAAACTCAAAACTTTTTGAATGCCAACATGATGCTCAAAGGAAATGCTCTTTGGAACATTTCAGATTTTGGATTTTCAGATTTGTGATGTTCAACCAGTAAGTATAATACAGATATCCCCAAATCTGAAAAACTTCAAAATCCAAAGCACTTCTTGTTCCAAGCATTTTAACCTACATGAACTTAAATGAACTAAACTTAAGTGAGGTTAGTTTAAAATTCAGTTCCTCACTTGTCCTAACCACATTTCAAGTGCTCACTAATCACCTGTGTCTAGTACCACTCTATTGGACAGTGCAGATTATAGAATGTTTTCTTCATCATAGAAAGTTCTGTTGGACATTCTGCTATAGACCATTGTGCTAAAATCACAAGACTTAAGGAACTGAAAGAAGCCTTGAAAATTTGTAGGTTTGTATATACATTCATATATACATAAAAATGCACATACACATTTTGTGAAATAATTCTTTCCCGTGAAATAATTAATTCTATATTATCCTTGTTAGATAGTCACTTACCTTCTGTTGAATACTTGAATTGACAGGGGGTTCACTTCTTTTAGAGGTAGCCTGTTCCATTTTTAAAATAAACCGTAGGCTGAGCACAGTGGCTCATGCCTGTAATCATACCACTTTGGGAGGCTAAGGTGGGAGGATCACTTGAGCCCAGGAGTTTAAGACCAGCCTGGGTAATATAGTGAGACCTCATCTCTACAAAAAAAATACAAAAATTAGCTGGGCGTGGTAGCGCACACCTATAGTCTCAGCTATTTGGAAGACTGAGACAGGAGGAACACTTGAGCCCAGGAGTTTGAGGCTGTGGTAAGCCACGATCGTGCCGTTGCACTCTAACTTGGCAACAGAGTGAGACCTTGACTCAAACAAAACAAAACAAAACAAAACAAAACAAAAAAACCCCCAAAACTGTAATTATTAGAAAATCATTTTTTATATTAAGCCAAAATCCAGATCATTATATATCATCTCTAACTTTTGGTCACTATAAACCAGCTGGAGCAATGAAGAATAATATGAAGATTCATATCTTTCACCCTGAGAAATTCTCAGCTACTGTCTCTTCAGATATTACTTAACTTCCATCCCTTGCATTCTTCTTTTCTAGAAGTCAGACTGGAATAACGTTGGAGCCTCTCAATCTATCACCAAACTGCTCTTTCATATTTTGACATCTCTTTGGCTCTTTGTGCTGCTTTCTGGATGAATTCCTCAAGACCCTGTTACAGTACATAAATGTTTAGTTTCACTATCTCTGGTCTGGAATTAATCCAGACTGTTGATTTGGTTTAATTTATACTTTTAATTTTAAAACTTTCCAATTGGTTCTTTCTCATATTCTTTTTTTTTTTTATTTTTTTGTCTTTCCTGCCAGGTTTTGTTTCAAAACTTCATGTCCTTTTCAAGTGGAAGTCACTCCATCATTTATGTTTTTGAGTATCCTAAAGCACTTGGATTCAAATGTGTTTCAGAATTCAGAAATTTTGAGATTTGAAAAAGATGACATCCCCAGTGAGGTCTGGGATAACACTCTATAATCAGACAGGTTAATGTTTCTCTAGTGAAAAGTGTGAATAGGCACACCAAAGGTGACAAATCAGGACTATATATGTAGACTTTTATCAGACTTGGTCAGCAAATTTTAATTGGTTAGGTTAGGCTTCGTCACCAAAAAGTTTTAAAACAGATTTCCTCAGAATCTGAGGATTTTAGATCATGGACCAGTATACTTAAAGTCTTTGTCAGACTGTTCCACAAAATTCATCTTATCTGAAATGAATTCATCTTCTGAATGATAACTGTGTTACCTGTCTTTCTTAATATTAGATTTTTTTAATGTTTTTAAATTTTGTTTTTGGGATTATTGGCTTATTTTGAATGAAAGCTTTTTGTCCTCTCCCTCTCTCTCTACATTCATCTTAGCCTAATAGTTTTACCATGTCTTACCCAGTCTGCGGACCCCTTAAGCCAGGTATTACAGTATGCTTTCTCTATTGTTGTGACGTCAAGAATACTAGAGTCAGACACTGAGCCAGTGGATGGCTTAACTCAATTCTTGGTTATGAGGCCACATCTTTGATCTTTGGTTCCTAAATTCCACTTCTTATAAACCTATAGCCCAAGAGGCAGATTGGCAGGATTTTTTTTTTTTTTTCTATTTTCATGAAGGAACCCTCTTCCTTGTCTTCAAAAAACGAGCCTGGATCTGGCTACTATCTCCTGTGGAGCATTTTTTTGTTCTCTTTACTCTGTATGAGCTGAACTGCAGACCAAAATATTCTGCTTCCAGAGCTAGAGGACAACAACCTATGTCTTCCACCCCAGGGCCATTTAGAGTTTTTCTTTTACTTTTGTTCTATCACTTATTTACTTTTGATTCCAAATATATCCTTTTTTCTTTTAAAACATTTTATCCGGAGTTGCTGTCTTTTGGAGCAAGAAGAGGGTATAGCAAACACGAATTCTCTGTGCCATCTGAATCAGAAGTCACTCATCTCTTAAAATGCTGAATTCGAACCTATTTTTATCAAGATCCACCCTCTCTCTCCCATAACTCAGCTGCTGCTACATACTCTTATTTTCTTCACAACAAATAACTTCTCCAAAGAATTGTCTACACTCCCTGTTTCTAATTCTTTATACCCCACTCACACCTCACCCACATCAGTCTGGCTTCCACCTCCCACTCCACGAATTTTTTTCCCCAAGGTTTCTAATGATATCTTTGTCACTAAATCCAATGTTTCAGTCCTCATCTGTTTAATTTCTAGCAGCTTTCAATACTTGCTGAATACACCCTACATTCTCAAACACTCTCTTACCTTGTTTTTCATAATTTAAGAGTGCTCTGGTTTTCTTCCTACCTCTCTGGCTTCTTCCTCAAAATATCATTTGCTGGTTCATCTTCCTCTGTTTAGTCATTAACTGTTAGGATTTGTTAAGGGTCAGTCCAGACCTTGCCTTATTGCCCTAGATCTCGCTTTCTGACCAGTCTCGTCCTTGCTAATTGGGTCAGACACCAACTCCACCCAGATAGTTCCCCAGTTGCTATGCCCAGTCATACCCCTCCTTTTATATGCAGAGCAAATCCGCCTTTCTTGAAATTACCTCTTTCATGTCTCAGAGGGATCTCAAATTCCATTTCAGTGTTTCCTGTCTAATGCAACTACCATCCATCTAATTGCATAAACCAGAATTCTCAGGGTCATGAATGCCCTTGTGCATTCTTTCCCCCATCAAAACCAATCTGTCCCCAAATTTATATCCTACACTTTTCTTGACTCTCTCCTTCTATCTCTCTTGTCCAATATGCCATCATCTTTCATAATGATCTCTGCAGAAGTCTCCTAATTATCTCAGCCACATCCACTCTTCCCCACTGTTTGCTTTGTTTCCCAATGTATGCCTATCACTTGGCTGGTGGTCTGGCATGGAGTAGGTGTTCAGTAACATTTGTGGACCAAATCATTTGAATCCTCACTTTGGCACCGGACATGTTAGTTAGTCCTCTTAGTTTTGTGTAAGCAACAGATTGGCCAAGCCCACCTTCTGTGTCTTTAACCTAAAACACAAATGACTAGGAGAGGGCAGTTCTGTGCTACAAAACCAGAAAGATTTCTCCAGTTCGACGCTGATTCCATTAAAGCTCCATCATTTAAAAGACTAGTAATTGAAAGCAACAGCAAACAGTAAAGTTCCTGTCTGTCATCTTTTAGGTTTTGTTTTGTTTTTGTTGAGTTGGGTTCTCACTCTGTTGCCCAGGCTGGAGTGCAGTGGCATGATTACAGTTCACCATAGCCTTGTACTTCTAACTTAGGTAATCCTCCAGCCTCAGCTTCCCAAGTAGCTAGGACTACAGGAATATACCACTAGACCTGGGTTGTTTGTTTGTTTGTTTGTTTTTTGTAGAGTTGAGGTCTCACTATGTCACTCAGACTGGTTTCTAACTCCCAGGCTCAAGCAATCCTCCCGCCTCAGTCTCTCAAAGTGCTAGGATTACAGAAGTGAGCCACCACACCTGACCCCATCTTTTATGTGTTTTATCTGAGTTTCTTGAAACCAGTTTTTGCCATCAAATGTATTTCAAAATATTCCAGCAAGTCTTTAAAAAATTATTCCATAGGACTCAGAGTGGGAAGTGTAGTAGAAATTTATAATAGAGTGCTGGGAGGCTAGAACTTGCAGCCAATAATAACTTCTGGAAGAAAACCTGTTAAATCATTGACCTGTGAGCGTTTTGTGGTGGAATAAAGTCAGACAAGCTCTTTTTTGGCGTTGTCCAGGGTAGAAAGGCTGGTGATAACCTTTCCATGTGGACCGGTGACAGCGCCTTATTTCATGCTATACCACAGAGTCAAAAATTGGTGTGGAGAATCCACATTTTCTTCCCCCTGAGGGAAGTCTTTCTATTATTTAAGTGATAGAGAAAAAAATCACTATAGAAATAGCAGTTAGGTGGTTCAGAGCTCTTCAGGAGGAATAGGGAATGTGAATTTCCTGAAGGCAAGAAAAGAGAGGACCATTTTAATTAAGTGTGAGAAAACTAACCTGGGCCCAAGCTTGTGGGCTGAGGTGGGTTACACTGCTAAGGGGTGAGGTTCTAATAGTGACTTAGGCATTAAGTATGCACGCACTTTGACCCAGCAATTGCAAATCTAGGAATCTTACAAAAATACTAGCATAAAGACACACACACACACACACACACACACACACACACACACACACACACACACTAGGAATCTTACAAAAATACTAGCATAAAGACACACACACACACGCACGCACACACACACACACACACACACGATTGTATAGCATCATATGTTGCAGGGAAAATTAAAGACAATGTAAGTGTCCATCAATAGGGAATTTATTAAATACTCCTGCCGTGGAATGGTAGGCAACCATTAGAAAAATGAAATATATCTGTATGCACTGATAAAGATGAACAAAATACCACTGAGTAAAAATAAGCAAGTCATGGTAAGAGACAATAATCACTATTATAATCATCAGTGTTTATATGGTCCTTATTATGAGTCAAATACAGTTCTAAGAGCTCTATATGTGTTAATTCATTTCATCCTCATAACAATCTTAAGAGGTGGGTGGGCTCCTTTGTAAAATGAGGGTACTGAGGCATACAGATGTGAAGTAACTTGCCCAAGATCACAAGCTGGAGGCAGTCTGATGCCAGACCCCAAACTCCCAGTCAATAGATGGTATTAGGAGAGAGCCCATTTTTTTCTGTAAACGTCCAGATAGTAAACATTTTGGACTCTGCAAGCTATGTAGTCTTTGCCACCGTAGTGCAAAAGACTACCTAATCACATATTATGATCATAGGTTTTCTTTGAAAAAACCCCAAAGCATATGTGTATGCGTATTCAAGCATAGAAAATGGTCTGAACATATGAAAACCAATCTACTAACAATCGTTATCTCAGAAGTGGGACATGTGGGTCACTTTTACATTACTTCCATTCATGTAATTTTGGAATGCCTTTTGCCTTGAGAAGCTGGTGGCTAATACACTCCTGGGTAGAAAGGACAAAAGTCCCTGGAGGTAGGGTTGTCAGATTTAGAAAATCAAAATACAGGATGCCCCACTAAATTGTCCAGATAAACAATGAATAATGATATGTTATTTTCCATTTAAAATTTAACAGGACACAACAAGTATTGTAGCTGGCATCCCTACCTACAGGACAATATTTCTTGCTAGGATGACATATGAAAGTGTTTCCAGGTGTCTTCTCAGCTCTGTGTCTGCATTGAATGTGTAAGTGTAGCCAGTGCGTGTCACGGCTGGATGACCATCTGTCTGCTCGGCCTCTCTCCCAGGTGGAGCTGCATCTGCGGCTGCGTGTCCCACGGGTTGGCCAATACGTGGTTGTGGTTGAGTACTCCATGGAGGTGGCCCAGCTGCTTGTGGTCAATGTGAACGTGAAGAGTCCCGGGTCTCTTCTGGCAGGGCAGGTGAACATCTACCACTGCAAGTACAGGTAATCAGTCCGCCCTGGGAATTCCTCTTAACAGAACAATTAGGATGTCTGCCTTAGGAACTTTGGTTTGTATTTGCACTGGAAAGTTGTTTCTTTTCTTTTTCTTTTCTTTTCTTTTTTTTTTTTTTTTGAGTCGGAGTCTCACTCTGTCACCTAGGCTAGAGTGCAGTGGCATAATAACAGCTCCCCACAGCCTTGATCTCCTGGGCTCAGGTGATCCTCCCACCTCAGTCTCCCGAGTAGCTGGGATTACAGGTGTGCACCACCATGCCTGGTTACTTTTTAAATTTTTTTGTAGAGATGAGGACTTGCTATGTTGCCTAGGCTGGTCTCAAACTCCTGGGTTCAAGCAGTCCTTCTGCCTCAGCTTTCCAAAGGCATGAGCCACTGCGCCCAGCTTGGAAAGTTATTTCCTTTTTGAGGCAGATCTTGGAAACAAGCAGGTAACTAGTTATGTGGTCCAACGTCGCCCCCACTGTGGGTATTGAGGGTCCTCTCTGTGACCAGTGGCTTGAAAATGTTGCATTTTCTTAAAAAGTTGTACCTACTGATTTGGTTCAGATTCACATGAAGCAACACAACCTCTTTAGTCTTTATCACTCCAGTGTGGTACGATGAACTTGGTGCCCACTTCTGAGGCTGTGTCAAATCCGTGGGTGCATGGCATATGGAAAAAGACAGCCTCAGTAACACCAGGAAGTATACACCTGCCTTCACGACATACCTTCAGAACTGGGGATAATTAATGTTTGATGATTGTCAGGTGAAAACCATATATTTTGACAAAGGACTTTAAAATTTGCCCCAATAAAGTTCTTTTCCAAGAGTACTAACTTACAAGGGTTTATTAAAAATGGTTTTCTTTGTAACATGTTTCAAGATATGTGCAAATGTTCAAAGTGAAATTTAATTAAAGAATCAGCCCAGGGGTGTTTCCACATGAAATTAATTGTGTAATAAATGGCGCTGAGTTTTAATTGTGTAATAAACAGAAGTCAGAGTCCCTTGGAACAGCAGGTGGAACACTTGCAGGAAGCCCGCCCAGTCCTTGGCCAAGGCCTTGAACATTTTATTACCTCTACATTTATGTTGCTTTTTTGTCAAACCCAAGATGACTTTTCTGTTGTAAAAATGAAAAAAACTTATGAAAAGAGTTACTTTTAGTAGCTTATAATGGAAACTTTCATAAGACTTGGTGAAATCGTTATTGAATTAATATTATGTCCTCAGCAACCCTAAACAAGCAACTATGAAGGCTTTTTTCTGGACAATAAAACAAAAATAAAGTAACTGTATTTGAATTTTTTTTTTTTTGAGTCAGGGTCTTGCTCTGTCACCCAGGCTGGAGGACAGTGTCATAATCACGACTCACTGAACCTCAACTTCCTGGGTCGAGGCGATCCTTCCACTTCAGCCTCCCAAGTTACTGGGGCTACAGGCGTGCACCATTACACCCAGCTAATTTTAAAACTTTTTTGTAGAGACAAGGTCTTGCTGTGTCACCTCAAGCTACTTTCCTGCCTTAGCCTCCCAAAGCGCTAGTATTACAAGCAGGAGCTACTGCGCCCAGACTGTATTTAAATTTTTAACCGGAGCACAAAATGAGCCTAAAAGAGTTTCCCAGAATGTTCTGTCGTTATCTTAAAATATGAGTTGCCTCTATAGGTGCCATGAGCAATCACTGGAATGTCCACTCCCAGATGGGTGGGTCACCACATCACCTGAGGCCCGGAGACTACTGGCCACAAGGCCTGAGGCAGGGCTTCTCTGTGCCTGTCCATGCAAGCCCATCCATCAGTTCAGCTTTCAGACTTTTCCCATCTCCAGATCCCATCCATGGCTTGACTTCTGGTACACAGGATATAAAGTGGAGATGGCAGAGGAGACAGGAAGAAATATTCATGATGACCTGGTGACTCTCTGAATCATCTCAAAAGAGCTCTGAGGATATGTCTATGCCAAAGGGAGACATGATCCTTAGAATCCTGGACAGGGTTGTATCAGGATGGGGATAATTTTCATTTTATTTTCCCACTCTCAGGAAAGTCTCATGGAACATTTTCACTTGGCTAAAATATTTCCTTTTTCCTACTTTGCTTGTCCTGTGGACAAGTGAAACTGAACAGGCCACAAGTTTGAGAGTCAGAAAAATATGGTACACTTGAAAAATATTTGACCCATAAAAACCTATTTCAAATGACAGGCCCTTTCAACATTGCAGCATTTCCTGCTGAGGTTTGAACTTTTCTCAGCATTTCTCAAGTGAGCTCTAACAATGTTGTTAATATCCCAGGAGAATAGCAGTGGTGCTAACAAGAGCACCATTTTTCAAAGTAGTGCTGTGTTAAATCAAATTTGTTCTCCATAAGACAGGTGATCCTTAATGATTAAGTCAATATGGTTATTATTGTTAGTTTATTTCTTAGTAAGAATTAAATAAGGGAGAAGGATCAGACTAAATCTAAGTGAATCACTTAATGTATTTAACTCCCAAGATTATTCATGACTTCAAAAGGAATGCATTTTAATGGACACACACACACTGTCTCACACAAGGGAAAAGAAAACGACTGCTTATTAAGTTTCTGATATAAGCCACAAGCTATGCTTGGTTCTTTAATATTATCTCGTTTTAATCCTCACCAAAAAACGCCATTGCCTAAATTATTTCAAATATTTATCAGAGATGGTAATTTTGTTTTAATATGACAATAGTTCCAAATTATATTTACAGACAAAAAAATTTGCTACTGAGTCTGAATTTAGAAGCCGCACTCAAACATTGCTTCCTTTATGGGTGTTACCATTAGAATTGTATTTTTTGGTTCAAAACTGTGAGCTCTTAAATGTTTCTGAGCTCTGTATCTCACAGGAGGTGATGGAGGAGAGGAATGCCGCTGGTAGAAATGAAGTAGGAAGATGAGCCGGGCTCGGTGGCTCAGCCTGTAATCCCGCGCCTTTGGGAGGCTGAGGTGAATGGATGGCCTGAGCCCGCGGGTTCGAGACCCGCCTGGGCAGCCAGACCTCATCTCTACAATAAATCAAAAATCAGCCGGGCGTGGTAGCGCAGGCCTGTCATTCCGGCCACTCAGAAGGCTGAGGCGGAAGGATCGCCGGAGCCCAGCAGGTCGAGGCTGCGGTGGCCGGGAGCGGCCACTGCACTCCAGTCTGGGCAACCGACTGAGAGTCCAACTGAAAAAAAAAAAAAAAAAGAAGGAAGACGAAAGAGGAACAGACTGAGCTTCAGTGGCAAACTCTGGATTTTCTATGATGAAGTCAGGACAACTGTGTTTACTGACTTGGTGTGAGATGGTCACCGTGAGCCTCGTTAGTGACTTTCATTGCAAATGATCTCAAGAGAACTGGCTATATCTTAGACGTCTGCTGTTAGTGATCCTAAGGCTCTTTCTCCTGATGACTAAACCAGGATTCCATCAAGCCTGGTGGAAAGACAAGGGGGCCTTTAGCCCTGAAATGTACGACACTGATGACAGTAGGAAAATTCTTTTCCCTGTAGAGACTGTGGGCTGTACTTTCTCAACTCATGGAAAATTCACTGTGATTTGTCCAGTTCTAAAGAGGTGAAACTGAAAAGCATTCAGCCACTCCATAGGGAGGTGCAAAGTGAGGGGAGACTCAGGGAGTCAGGCTGAGCAAACTCTGTTCCCTCTTGCAGTGTTCTGTGTCGAAGCACTGTGGTTGATCATAGGAGCCGCGTGGCTGTGTACGAGCTTCTGGCAGACGCAGACATCCAGCTCAGGGCACACGAGGCCCAGTTTCTTCTGGTATGCTTCTGTTTTACCTGTTGAATTTTAAAAGTAGTTTGTTGATATCTATATATTTTTTAAAAACCTATTAAAATTTTGGCTCGGACTGCAATACATTTATAAAACTAACCTGTGGGCTGGGCACGGTGGCTCAAGCCTGTAATCCCAGCACTTTGGGAGGCTGAGGCAAGAGGATTGCCTGAGCCTGCGGGTACAAGACCAGCCTGGGCAATACGGTGAGACCTCATCTCTACAATAAATAAAAAAATTAGCTGGGCATGGTAGTGCATGCCTGTAGTTCCAGCTACTTGGAAGGCTGAGGCGGAAGAATCTCTGGAGCCCAGCAGGTCAAGGCAGAGGTGACCATGAGTTGTCCCACTGAGCTCCAGCCTGGGCAACAGAGTGAGACTCCAATTCAAAAACAAAAAACAAAAAAACGCTGCCGGTTTAATATTTATTCTTCCCACCTAGAACCTGAATTGCCTCTTCATTTGGTTGGGCCTTTTTTAATTTCACCTAATAAAGCTTAGTTATCAAATTTAAGCACATCTCACAAAATCCCATTTCATTAATTTTTATTCATTCCCTATTATTATGAATGAAATCTCTTTTGTTGTTAGATTTTCCAGTTTATTATTATATTATTATTTCCAGAGTCTAGAAATGCCATTGGTTATTGGTTTCTTTTCCAATTTACTATTTTGTTATCTCTGTTAGCTTCTTCATAAATTTCATCAAAATTTTAAAATTTATAATAACCTACTTTTTAAAAAAAGCTTTATTTCAAAAAGAGTACTCTTCAGTTAAGTAGATATATGCTATTAAGTCTTAAAATACCCAGTGTGGCAAATCTTCCTGCCCATCTTTGTAATGTCATGACTTGAACATTAAGGATTATGATAAATTTGAACATTAAGAATTATGAGAAACAAAGGCAATGGAATTTGGCTAGTAAGAGGTGGATAGATTTATAATTACTATATCAGGAAACTTAAGATTATCTAAGAATGAAACAGCTTCCTGTTACTGTTAATATTAAGCATGCATCATACCCTGGGAAATGCCAGGCCAGCCTGTACTAATGTGTTTCAAATATTTGTACCTAGAGTATTAAAAACTTCAAGCTTGCTTTTAAGAAGTAGCTGGAATTCAGCTTTTAAAATTTATCATTATAAAATGATGGTTCTTTTTAAAAAAATATATAACAATCCAAGTACATCTAACCTCTTCATTTTTGGAAATTATAATAGTGCCGAATCTTCATCACAGGATGAAGGACAGGTTTACCCTTTTGGAAATAGTCAAATGTTATTCAGGGTCAAGGCTGGCTAGAATATAAGCTCCATGAGGGCAGGGGCACTGTCCACCTTGGACTTGTAAGACCCTCTAGTTTCAGTGGTGTTCAATAAAAGTTTTTGTTGCTGTTACTCAGTAGCTTTGCTATCAAGCTGATAATACACTTTTGATTTAAATTAAAATATACGGATAAACTCATGACTGAGTTACTTGTGTGACACAAAACTAGCTGTGGGGCTGGGCGTGGGTTCACACCTGTGATCTCAGTGACTCAGAAGGCTGAGGTTGGAAAGATTACTTGAGGCTGGGAGTTTGAGACCAGCCTGGGCAACATTGTGAAACCCTGTCTCAGATAGATAGATAGATAGATAGATAGATAGATAGATAGATAGATAGATAGATAGATAGATAGATAAACAAACTAGCTAGCTCTGGAGACAGTTCCTTCAACAAAGTCTAGATGTGCCTGAGATTCACATCAACCTTTATTAAGAAGGGTTATTTCACTCAGTGATCTATCACAGAAACAAAGAACTGAGTACCACATGTTCTCCCTGATAAGTGGACCCTGAACATTATCATAATACTATAAGAAAGGGATTGGCAGTACTGGGAAACTGCCAGGGGAGGGAGCGGGGGTGGGTGGGAGGCATACTTCATCAATAAGTGTACCTGGTCTCAAGTCAGGTGTTGTGGGGACCAAAGTGAGGTCCAAACTTACCTGTACAATGACCATTTGTATACCTAACCCTGATTGTACCCCACATCTTTAAAATAAAAATTAGGGAGGAAAAGGGTCATTTCTTGCAGAAGCAGCCCTCTCTTTGAATTGCAGACTCTCTGACCACCCACCACATCCCCCCCCTTCCTGCCAAGGGTTCTGAAGAGCCAGAATTGGCCCAGGGCAGGAGAGAAAAAAACAAGCACCGAACATCACCAAAAAGAGGTTTTTTTTTAAACTTTTGTATAACTTTTTTATCCATTTTGTTTATGTAATTATTCTAACAGCAATTGTCGGTGATCCTGTATAATAATAAAAAGGATTTGTTGCACATAATGATGCCATAAGGCATGCCATCCTGAAATATTTACAACTTTAAAATAACGGTTATAATTTCTCTGGATAAATTCTTTAATAGCTTTAACAAAAAAAGTGTGTTTGACAACATTGTTGGTTTTATTGATGACTGCGATGTGACTTTTTGCATTGTATTTGCTCAACAGCATCAAGTTTGTATCATACCCTTTGAAGAATTCTCAGTTGAATATGTGAGACCTCAAGTCCATTGCATTGCCAGTTATGGACGATTTGTTAATCAGAGGTAATGTGTTTCTTTCTTCTCCCCCGCTTATGCTCTAATACTGTGATGCATGTAAGGCTGACACTTTATTTATTTGTTTAGTTTTTGTTTTGAGTCAGGGTCTTATTCTGTTGCCCAGGCTAGAATGCAGTGATATGATCATAGCTCACTGTAGACTTGACCTCCTGGGCTCAGGAGATTCTTCTGCCTCAGCTCCCAAGTAGCTGGGACTATCGGTGCACCTCTACACCTGGCTAATTTTTTGATATTCTTGTAGAGATGAAGCCTTGCTGTATTACCCAGGTTGGCCTCAAACTCCTGGGCTCAAGCAACCCTCCCACCTTGGTCTCCCAAAGTGTTGTGATTATAGGTGTGCGCCACTGCACCCAGCCAGGCTGACACTTTATATTTAACTTCAGAAATGATCACAAGCCAAGGTGCTAAAATCTGGTGATGGATTCTAAAAATGAAAAAATTAAAACTAGCTAAATCATTTAACCCAGCAGTCTGTCCAGAATTCCATAATATCAGAAGCTAACACCAGAGCAACTGGGTTAGTGGTTAAGCCTAGCCCTTGATGGTGGGAACGCTCACTTCTATTCTGAGTCCTTGAAAAGACTCATTTTTGTTCCAATCCTTTAATCTCTATGCCTGAGACTCTTCATTTGAAAAACCATGAAATTAATGATCTCACAACTATGTCATGAGAATTATCTAGCTAATGCTTATCGGGGTAGGGTTGTTTTGCTGTGGATTCAAAAATAATTTTAAGACATAGTCTTGAAATCTTTTGTGCATGGTTAAGAATGTAGGAACTACTAGACAACACAAATCTGGTAGTGCTTGAAAGAAATAATGTGTATTTGTTCTCTTTTATATAGTATTCTGTCAACATTTATGTTTAGAGGTAAATTGTTTATTGCATTGATCTCTTTTTAAAAATTTTAGTTCTGGAAAGTGGAGTTTTAGTAAGTTTCTATCTAGCTTGCTTCAAAGTAAAGATTGTTTTTGTGTGCGTTTTGACTAGTTACATTGAATAGGTGGCTGGAATACACTTGGTCGATAGACTGCACTGAGTATCATTATATAAAGATCACTAGAGACCTATGGTTCCCCAACACAGGATACTTTTGATGCTCGTGTGATCTTGTGTTCAAAGTCTGTCTCTTCACTGATGGACAGTTTAGCAGTTTTTGGTGATTTTTAAAATAAGATTTTAAAATCTTGTCTTTTTCAGTGCCACCTGTGTCTCTCTGGCCCACGAAACTCCTCCAACAGCATTAATTTTGGATGTCCCGAGTGGTGGGTCTCTCCCTCGCCTGTCCCAGGACCCTTCTCCTTCAGTGGATGTTGTTTCTGGGGTCACCTTGAAGGCACCACAGGTAGGATCCCCTTTGACTGTGTTGTTTCTAAGCCAGTTGTTCTCAAAGTGTGGCCCCCAAACTAGTAGCATCCACATCACCCAGGAACTTGTTAGAGTTGCAGATCCACAGGTCTTACCCCAAAACCAGCAATCTGTGTCTTAACAAACTCTCTAGGTGATTCTGATGCCCTTGGAGTTTGAGAACCTCTACTCTCTCCTGTGAAGAATTCCAGAACTGCAGTCATCTGATTTATCCTGCTTATGGCCACCCCAGCCTGATGCACTTATTGCCTCCAGAGCTCTCTCTATATAGTCATCTGGCAATTTTTTATGGCCTATCTTGTGATAGCTCATATTTTCATAACCTGCTGCTGTTTGACATTGTTGAGTTTATTAGTCTTTTCCCTAAGTTGGGTCATAAAACTTTTAGAATAGTTGCTATGACTAATGAACTTTTGGGGGCTGGGTGCAGTGTCTCACGCCTGTCATCTCAGCACTTTGAGAGGCCAAGGCGAGAGGATTACCTGAGTTCAGGAGCTCAAGACCATCCTGGGCAACATGATAAGACCTCATCTCTACAACACATAAAAACATTAGCCAGGCATGGTGGTATGTGCTTATAGTCCCAGCTACTTGGAAGGCTGAGATGGAAGAATCACCTGGGACCAGCAGGTTGAGGCTGTGGTGGTCAAGATCATACCACTGTACTCCAGTCTTGATGACAGAGTGAGACTCAGACTGAAAACAAACAAAAAAATTGGTATCCTCCACTATATCTTGCAAGTAGGAAATTCTTAATAAACATTTATCAATTTATCATCTAGAAAAAAATAAAAGTAAGTTATAATAAGGTAATGAATTTCCTCACTTTAAACTACTATGAAATCACAGTACTTTTTTTTTTTTTTTGAGTTGGAGTCTCACTCTGTTGCCCAGACTGGAGTGCAGTGGCCACTCCCGGCCACCGCAGCCTCGACCTGCTGGGCTCTGGTGAACCTTCCGCCTCAGCCTTCCGAGTAGCCGGAATTACAGGCATGCACTAGCACGCCTGGCTGATTTTTTGATTTATTGTAGAGATGAGGTCTCGCTGCCCAGGCGGGCCTCGAACCCGCGGGCTCAGGCAATCCACCCACCTCAGCCTTCCAAAGGCGCGGGATTACAGGCTGAGCCACTGAGCCCGGCTAATCACAGTACTTTTAATGTTCTGGATTATGGAAATATACTTAACATTCTGATAGTATAAATTCAGTATGCCTTATCCAAAATGCTTGGGACCAGAAGGATTTGAGGTTTCAGATTTTGGAATATTTGCATTATACTTACACGTTGAACATCCCTAATCCAAAAATCTGAAATCCAAAATGTTCCGACAAGAATTGCCTTTGAACATTATGTTGGTGCTTAAAAAGTTTCAGAATTTGGAATATTTTGTACTTTGAGATTAGGGATACTCAACCTGTATTATATATTCTTGTCATCCCAAAGAGGGTTTATGTCCGATCACATTGCATCAAGTTTGGAAATTAAGAGGATCTGAGAGAGAATATTAAATAAGATCCTATTTGAGAAAGCCAGCCTAAAATAGTAAGGAGAAATGAGTTGAAATCAAGACAGCCAAATTCTAGTCCTGATCTCATCAATGAGTGAGTGTATGATCTTCAGTGAGTTATTTACCCTTCATGAGTCATGGCTTTCATCTGAAAGGTGAGTTGTGATTGTGATATTCTGAGGGTTAAAAGACCCATTGTTCATATCGGGAGGCTTTCTGGGAGAGCCTGGCTCACCCTCAAGCCTGAGCAAAAAGGAAGGTGTGCTCTGGTTTTTCCTGTGATTGGTGAAGTGGAAGGAGGACAGGAGCAGTCCAGGGAGGACTACCCCAGTGAGTGGAATCTGTGTGGTTTGAACCCCCCATTTGTGCCAAGGGAGGAAGCCCCTGGGCTTTATTATTAGCTTCTCTAGATATAGGGCAAAAGGCACAGGGAAATAATGAGGCTTGAGAGAAGCTGTTAGTGGGCAAACATAAAAAATGGAGTCAGACTCTTTAGTACATGATTATTATGAGTAACACTGCTACAAACATTTTTTTTTTTTTGAGTTGGGGGTCTCACTGCCACCAAGTGCAGTGGTATGATCACAGCTCACCCCAGCCTCAACTTCCTGGTCTCTGGTGATCCTTCCACTTCAGCCTCCCGAGTAACTGGGACTAGAGTTGCATGCCACCACAACAGGCTAATTTTTGGATTTTTCGTATAGACGAGATCTTTGCTACGTTGCCTAGGCTGGTCTCAAGTCCCTGGGCTTAAGCAATCCTCTTGCCTCAGCCTCCCAAAGTGCTGGAATTATAGGCATGAGCCATCACGCCTGGCCAATGATCATTCTTGTACTGTCTTTAGCAAACAGATTATGCTTTTCTGTTGAGCATGTTCCAGGAGTGCAGGGTTCTATGTTTGACTTTGGTAAATACTGACAAACAGTTTTCCAACCTGATTTACCAAGTTACACACCCTCCAGCAACATATATGGTTTGTTCATCCATTCTGAAGGTGACAGACATTTGGGTTGTTTTCAGTGATTGCAGGTAAAGCTGCTCTGAACATACGTGCGAAGGTTTCTATGTGAACACAGGTTGTCATCTCACTTGAGTAGATACCTAAGTCATTTTGTTTTTTTAACCTCTAAATACACTGTGATTCTAATTATTCACAGCTCTTCAGTTTGAGGGTTTTTAAATATATATATATTTTTATTTTATTTTTCCTTTCCCTCTCTTTTCCTCTTAGAACCAAGTGACCCTGAAAGGACTAGTACCACACCTGGGCCGGTACATCTTTGTCATCCATTTTTATCAAGCCACGTGCCCGACGTTTCCCGCACAGGTGTTCGTGGATGGAGGGCAGCCACGGTCAGGTGAGCTGCAGTGAGCAGGCTCCATGCTGCCTGTCTTGAGGCATCCCTGCAATTGTGTGACAGGAAGTCTTCTCTCTCTGTCCAGGCTCCTTCCGTGCCTCTTTTTGCCCCCATGTGCTTGGCTGCCGGGATCAAGTGATTACTGAAGGCCAGATTGAGTTTGATATCTCAGAACCTGAGGTGGCCGTGACTGTGAAGGTTCCAGAAGGAAAGTCCTTGGTATTGGTGCGTTCTGCTTGTCCCTCAACTGCTCCGCATCTGGCTGCCTTTGTCGGCCATTCTGTGTGTCTGTTTGACTTATGGCAATACATTGTCCAAGGAGCTGAAGTCATATTTATAGAAAAATGTTTAGATGTCACAACTCTCTTTTACAAAAAAGAAAGCAGGTGACAAAGTCAAGGGAAATAGGACAGCTGGAGAGCCAGTGTCTCGTCTCACCAACACTTGCTCACTCCTCTTCTTACTGGCCTGCCTCTAGGGCATTGAACTTTCCTCTCTGGCTCCTGCAGCTACTTTCTCTCATGTTTCTCCCATTTTCTCTTGCACTTTGGGTGATTTCTCTCTTCCCCTTGTCCCAGGATGCTGGAGTTCTCTCAGGTTTGACATTGTTGTATGCTTTCTCTTTGGATGCATCATCTGTGCCCACTGATTCTGGTCTGTACTCTGTGAGAAGGACACCCACATCTATAAGTTCACCTCTGATCTTTCCTGAACTCCATATGTGACTATCTGCTGCGTATCTACATGACCAGAGATTTCACAAGTCCCTCACTCAGCCTGCCACCTGCCCAGGCCTGATATACCCCCCACCCTGTTCATTAACTCGAATGATGGTGCCCAATGACCAGAGTTAAGAGGACCCCTCCCGCTTCTCCAATGGTTCTGCTACCACAGCCTGTCACCACACACTATGGATTCTCCCTCCACCATGGGGCACATCCATTCTGTTCCAGTCCCATTGTTCCTCTCACTTGGGTGGGGACAGCCTCCCACCAGGTCCCCCTTCCTCTGTTCCACCTCCCCTCCAGTTCATCCTCCACATTCTTGGCTGTTGCCTACCTGGCAAAGGGATAGAATTGGAACATGCCATGTGACTCAACTGCTTCTCTGCCCCCCCCAAACTGATGGGATAAGGTCCCTGAGCCTCTCCCCAGGTCCATGTAACTCTCTCTGGTCTGTGTGCTTCCCTCAGGTTCACATGCAACCCCCAGGTCCACGTGCCTTCCCACACCACCACGTACTTCCCCCAGGTCCATGTGATTTCATTGAGTCCACGTGCTTCCCTCTAGTCTAGATGCATTCCCTGGGTCCACACACTTTCCCTCGGATCCAGGGCTTTCCCTTCCCCTGGGTCCAGACGCTTTCCCCTGCGTCGTTGTGCTTCTCTCTGGCCAGGGCCCTCTTGACCTACTCCATCATTCGTCCTCCTCTCCCGCCATCTCTGCCCCACACCTCCCCCTCCCACACTTCACACTCTGTCTATACTAACCCTTTCTCAAGTCCCAGATATGCCATTTCCTCTTTCACCATCAAGCTTTCTCATGTTGTTCCTTTTTCTAACATTTTCTGCCTACGTCTCTACTCGGAAAAATCCTGCTGATCCATTCACCTAGTCCAGAATTATTAATTCATCTTCTTGCTTTCCAGAGAGCCAGGAACCATTGCCCAGACCCTGCTGTGTGGCTCTCCGGTTCTCTGCTTGTGCCTCCTCCCTCCAAGGAAGTCATCTGCCTGGAGAATGGGGCCTGACTGTTTTCATTCTGTGTCCCCCATGCCTAGTGCCCTGTCTGGCACTTAGTGCTCAGCAAATGTTTATTGAACTGAATATCATGGGAGCAGTAGACTCCCTGTAAGCTGTGAGCAGATGACACAGGCATTTGAACATTTCTACAGCATTTGTTACAGGCAGAGTCTGCTTTAAACAGGCACAAAGAACCAAGCAGCACTTTAAAAGCCTGGGACTGCAGTAACTCATATAGACTAGGTGTGATGGAAACTTCAGGGCAAGCCATGGGATTACGTTTTGTGTTGTTCCTGCTTACCTTTAAAAATACAAAACAAGCCGGGCTCGGTGGCTCAGCCTGTAATCCCGTGCCTTTAGGAAGCTGAGGTGAGTGGATTGCCTGAGCCTGCGGGTTCGAGACCCGCCTGGGCAGCGAGACCTCATCTCTACAATAAATCAAAAAATCATCCAGGCATGGTAGCGCATGCCTGTAGTTCCAGCTACTTGGAAGGCTAAGGCGGAAGGATTGCCGGAGCCCAGCAGGTCGAGGCTGCGGTGGCCGGGAGCAGCCACTGCACTCTGGTCTGGGCGACAGAGTGAGACTCCAACTCAAAAAAAAAACAAAACAAAAAAACAGCGATCCCTAGAGATTCAGGGGAATCCCAGGCATGGGCCACATGGGGCCCTGTCCATCCTGGTAGGTACCTGCTTGTCCCCAAGGTCCCTAACAGGCATTCCAAGGGCCCTGCCTGGGAGCTCACCATTCCCTGCATAGAAATGTAGATTGAGCCTTTAACTCAGTTTAGGTTTGCTCTTGTGATTTTTTTTTCTGTAAATCCTGATTATTTGGTTTTGGGCTTAAATAAACAGCATTGTCCTTGATGAAGAGAGCATACATTCTGAATATCCCTTATCTGAAATGTTTGGGACCAGATTTTTTTCAGTTTTTAGAATATTTGTGTTATACTTACAGGTTAAGCATCCCTAATCCAAAATGTTCCAAAGAGCATTTCCTATAAGCATGGCCTTTGGCATTATGGCAGCATTTAAGAAGTTTTGTATTTAGAAGCATTTTGGATTTGGAAATTTTGATTTCGGGATGATCAACCTATATCATGAATAGCCTTGGCTGTGCCCTGCCATTGGAAATTCAAAGACATGCTGATGGATTTCTTTCAGGTCCGTGTTCTAGTAGTGCCTGCAGAGAATTACGACTTCCAAATACTTCACAAAAAATCAGTGGACAAGTCATTTGAGTTTATCACCAATTGTGGAGGAAACAGTTTTTATATTGAGTAAGTATCACTTTATGCAGAGGCTCTGGAATGCATGAGGCACTCACACATTCCTGACTAGAACAAGGCCCAGGGAGGGGTTGGCCCTTGGATCTGTCCTCTTCCTCTCACCACCCAAGGAAGTGGCAGTGAGTGCCAGATCTAGAGAGGAAGATGTCTTACCTCTGTACAGACCATCCTATGACAGAACTCACCATGCACCATCTAGGAAAGCTGACCATCCTCACCTTGAACTCAACAGAGGTCCACCCTCCAAGTTGGGATTCAGGGGCTTTTAAAAGTGTCTCTTCCTCTTTGCTGCTTCCTGTTTGCCAGCACAAATTCCTAAGGACACCACATAGGATGGCCTCCACTGGGAAGGACATCATCCCAGAGTCCCACTCTCCTCTGCCATCAGACTTCTTGGGGAGCATCCAGAGATGCAACCTTCCAACCTTCTCTCCTGGCATCCCTGAATGCCAAGAACTAGAACAGCCCTGAGTGTTGGCTCCTGCCGTTCTCTTCAATAGACCCACCTTGCCCCCTCGTAGGTTTCTCGAGGAACTCAGGAGCTCCAGAGGCCCTGGGAGACAGATGCCTCCTGTACAGCAAATATTCAGAGCAAAGACTTTTAAGTCAAACAACTATGAATCTGAATGACTGCTTGGCCACTCCAGAACTGCAGCCTTGGGACTGTCTCTTAACTTCTGGGAGCCTCCATTGCCTTATCTGTGAACTGGGATTTAGGCCTAATGGGTTGGGAGGTTGCAAGGTCATGTGAGATGTAGATAAGTCTTCCAGCCACAACGTTCAATGAAGGCTGGCAATTCTCTTCCTCCTTATTATCATCTTGTTAGTCTTATCATTACACACACCTTTTTGGTAGCTGCTTCATTGAGATATAATTCACATGCCATCTCATTCATCCTCTAGGTATATTTTCACCCTTTTCCTCCAATCACCCAAGGCTCCCACTGACCATCCTGAAGTGGATGGTTGGGGAAAAGGGTGTTTGGGGCAGGCTGAGTCTGGAGTGAGGTATTTTCCCACTCTTCCCAGACTCCAGAGCCCTGAGCCCCTCCAAGACTCTGCTGGGTAAAGCAGGACGTGAAGGGAAGGTTGGGACTCTTTCCATGCACACCTTCAGGGGTATCCCCATGTGTTGCTTTTGTCTCTACAGTCCCCAGACAGCCTCCAGATTCTGTAAGAATTCCGCTAGGTCCCTGGTGGCCTTTTACCACAAGGGTGCACTGCCTTGTGAGTGCCACCCTGCCGGGGCCACCAACCATCACTGCAGCCCTGAGGGCGGGCAGTGCCCGTGCCAGCCCAATGTTATTGGACGGCAGTGCACACGCTGTGCAACAGGCTACTATGGATTCCCACGCTGTAAACGTAAGTGCATGTTCCCAGTCTTCTGAGACCTGCTGTGGTGCTCTGTAGATGATACTCTTCTAGGGCAGGCTTCTTGAATGTCACTGTGCTAGGGACTCCCTGGGGATCCTGTGAAATGCAGATTCTGATTCAGGAGTCCTGGGCTGGGGCCTGAGACTCTGCATTTCTAATAAACACCCAGGGGATGCCCATACCACTGGTCCATGAACCACACTGTGAGTCGCAAGGTCCTAGAAGGTAAGTGTTTGTGATTCCCATGTCATGTTATCTATGCGCTTGGCAAAGCCGGTGAGTGTGAGTGGCCTTAAATACCAGTCTTGGACAGCTCAGTCCTCTTCCTAGCAGAAACTCTTTCTGTTTTTGTGGCCAGTCAAAGCTCAGTTGAGATAGGAGAGCCAGGGTCACACAGGCATACCATGTACTGGATGAGAAACCCTTGGATCTTTATCTAAGAAGTGTCCTGTGGACCGAGGCATAGCCCACCTCTTGTGGTGGCAGTGAGGAATGCAGGTATGCAGACAGAGTCCCCATGTGGAGACTAGCCTTTGCCTGAATGAGGGAAGGAGAACCCTGCTGCTGCTGACAGGCACTGAGGTGATATGGATGGGGAGCCACTTTGAGGAGCCTGTGGGCAGCCCTTCCATCGACTTCTAGAAACTTCTGATGGACAGGAGGCCCCACAGTAGAATGGCACATGACGGCAGCATGATGGGCTCCTTGGGGTATCCATCTTGGACTCAGTAGGCCCAGCTGCTCTCCATTCAATGCCCACACACCATATCTGCCATGAGTATTTGCTGTGGTTGGTCTTGTCCCCAAGAAAGATGTTCTCCGGATCAAAACATTTCTCCCAGACCTCTTGGAAGCTTCTGGAAATCTTGGTAGTTGGTGCAGTTTTGCTGGATGTCAGTCGGCATCTAACCCTCATACGGTATCTCTTTATCCCCTGCCAGCGTGCAACTGTGGTCAGCGCCTTTGTGAAGAGAGGACGGGGCAGTGCCACTGCCCTCCCCGCACGGTCAGACCCCAGTGCGAGGCATGTGAGACACACTCCTTCAGCTTCCACCCTCTGGCTGGCTGTGAAGGCTGTAACTGTTCCAGGTGGGGCACCATCGGGGCTGCCACCCTGGAATGCGACCAGGACAGTGGACAGTGCAGGTGAGCTTGGGGGAGTAGCCTGTCAGATCCTGTCCTGGAAATGTCAGATGCCATCTGCCCCCATGCTGGTTATTGTCACTTCCCACTTCCCACCTGCCAGGCTCTGGGTTAACTTCAGGGCGGAGCTTCCCAGCCAAGACGGGTTGTGGTGGGTGGGAGTCATTGGCTTCCCCAGAGCTCATAGCTGGGCAGAGCCTGGGTGGCTAGATCTCCAGTTTCCCCAGGCCAGAAGTAGCCTTGCCCGTTGACTCCAGCGTGCTGTCATGATAGGATTGTGTTCCATGTGTGGCACAATACAAAAGGTGGAGAAACACCATGTATGCATAATTAAGTTGTCAGGGGCCCCTACTGTGATATGTTGTGGGAGCACCCATCCATTTGTATTTAGATATGGCTCCAAACCCTCCTTTTAGGGGTAGCTGGCTGGGTTGTTAAGGTCAGTGCATGATAAAGTCTGAAATTCAGCCTAACTCCGACAGGTGGGCTGGAGGAGGTGTTGAGGCCTCTGTAGCAGCGCTTGGTTGGGAGTAGGGAGGGAAGCAGCATGGCCAGATATACACAGAGAAGCCTGACCTGACAATGGGGCTGCCCTCAGAGGACCACCAGTCAGCCCAGTGCATAATAGAGACAGGTAGCAATTATGGGCTCAAGCAGGTGCTGAGTTGCCAGGAGGTTTAGTCCAGCAGCCCGGGCTTTGCACTGGAAGATAGAGGTTAGTGTTCCATGATTCCAGGTGATGGGCTGATCTCACCAGGGTCGTGGCTATAGGCAGTGGAGAACAGGATTTGAGTCCTAGAAGAAAAGGCTGGTAAGAAACACATCTAGGGTTATGTGAGAGGAAAACTGAACTGGAACTTTCAGAGTCCAGGCCTGTATGGCAGCGTACAGGGGGAAGCATAGGGTTGACCATCTACTCCGCACCCTTCAACATGCAGCCGAGGCACATGGGTATTACTGGGTCTGTGATTTGGGTGTGAGAGCCAGGGTGGGCTGTTGCTGCTAGTGACAGGCCTCAGTGACTCCAGTTCAAGGGCGACTGTATTAGTTTTCTGTGGCTGCTATAACAAATGACTGGGTAGCTTAAAATAGCAGAAATTTATTCCCCCACAATTTTGGACTCTAGAAGTTCAAAATCAAGATGTCAGCAGGGATGATTCCTTCCAGAAGCTCTCTGGAAGAAGTTGTACCATGCCTTTCTCTTAACTTTTGCTATGGCCAGCCTTCCTTAGAGTTCCTTGGCTCATAACTGCATCAGTCCCATCTCTGCCTCCAGCATCACAAGCTGTCCTTTCTCATGTCTCTGTCTCCACATGGCCTTCCCTTCTCTGTATATTTGTCTGTGTCTTTTCTCATTTTCTTGTAAGGACACCAGTCATATTGGCTCAGGACCCTACTTCACCTCATCATAATCTCATCCTAACTTGATTAAATCTGCAAAGACCTACTTTCCCAATAAGGTCACATTATCTGGTACTGGGGGCTAGAACTTGGACCTCTTTTTTGGATGGGGCACAATTCAACTCTCTAGAGCAGCTGTGTTCACTTTTCCTAAGAAAGGACTCTTAACCACACCTTTCATTGTTGCCTACCAACTCCTTTATACTACCAAGACCCTGTAAGGAAACTGAGAGAAAAACTTGAGTCATGAAATATTCCAGGCCTTTATAAAACCACAAGATGTGAGTCCTGCCTGAGTCAACTCAGTCGCTCAAGAACCAGGTATGGGTCCCAGAGAGGATACCTGAGTTTCATCATGGAAAGCAAAGGAACCAAAAGGAGGTAGAGAAGCAGCTTTCAAGCAGGAAGAGAAGCAGTAGAGAACTAGTGGAAGGGAGCTTTAAAAGGAAGTCGTTTGTCAACAGAATATGTTGCTGCAGACAGAACTTTAGACAGTTTCTCACTGGACCTGCCACAGAAAAAGAAAAACAAGAATGCTTTAAACATTTCTAAATTAGCTAAGGCATAAGGAGGTGATGGATAGATTTACCACAGTACTTTAGGTAAAAGTTCTAAGGCATTTTAACAAACCCTCGCTGCCAATGACAATTTAACAGAACAGAAAATTCCTAACTCAGGACTGAGGTATGACGTGTCTACAGTTTTGTCCAAACCTGAGGGCATCAGCAGAAATGGAATCTTACTAACTTGTACCACACTTAAACCAAGATGTAGAATTGTTTACCTTGACGTCACAAAGAGATTATAATAACCTAATGGGATGACATATCTACCCCTGAGCAAAGTGGATTTGTCATAAAAAGGGCCTTGGCAGAAAATGTAAGAAAAACTTTCAGTTGATTACATTACTGTAAATTGCACAAATTGCCCTTGGTCATTCTAGTGTAAATGTTGGAAAAGCTTTTGATTGCCTGAAAGGATTATCTCTTTATAAAATATTAGAAGAAAGACTATTTTTTGTTCCCCTAGAACATTTCCTGATGAAAATGAAAAATATGTTTAGAGAAGCCTAAAATTCATGTTAAAGAAATAATCAGAGATACCTGGAATTTGCAATAAAGAGAAAAACACACTCTTTCTCAATTATACAACAGACTATCTTACAGTTGTACAAATTATCACAAATCACACAGCTGAAAAATGGAAATTTTCAAATTATATGTGACTACTTATAGGTGTTATCGTACTCTCTAACAGAAAATCAAACTGTTATAAATACTAGTCTACTTTAAAATGAATTATAAAAATAAGTCTAGCAGTGAACAGTCCTCAGTTCTTAATTAAAACCAGCGTCGTGATTTTAGAGGCAATGGGGATATGTTACATTGGAGCTGAGACTGAGTTTTTTACTCCTCTTGGTCATGTCCTAACTAGGAGACTCTGAAAAAGCCATTCTGCCTTCCTGGGTCTCAGTCTCCTAATCTGTAAAATAAAGTTTGGTAAAAATCATATCTAACTTTCCACCTAAATTTAATATTCTGATTCTACTTCTTCTTCAATTTCTTATTGTATCATAGACAATATTGCAAAAGTATACCATGTAAATACCAAAAAGTACTATTTTGGTCACCTCTATTAGATCAAGGTCATAAAGAAACTTATGTTAATCAAAATTTTATTTTTTATAGCATCACCAAACAGCAAGTATATTTAATCAAATATAATAGCAATGAGAAAGTATTTTTGCATCTGCTTTTAACAATGAAAGATGTATGCCATTAGATTCTTTGAACAAACAAAAGGACCAGAATATCCTCAGAAGATTTTATCAATCTGTGACAGACATGAGAAAGCTGGGAACCACTGCTTTTAAAAGCTATTATTACCAGATGTAGTGGCTCACATCTGTAATCCCAACACTTTGGGAGGCTGAGATGAGAGGATTTCTTGAGCCCAGGAGTTTGAGACCAGCCTGGCAACATGGTGAGATCTTGTCTCTACAGAAAATTAGCCAGGCATGGTGGCATGCGCCTGTAGTCCCAGCTACTTGGAAGACGGAGGCAGGAGATGGAAGGATCACTTGAGCCCTGGGGATGGGGTCTGTGGTGAGCTATGATTGTGCCACCGTACTCCAACCTGGGCAACAGAGTGAGACTTTGACTCTAAATAAGTAACTAAGTAAATAAATAAATAAATAAATGCCGTCATAATGTCAATCACTTTCAAGTTTGATGAAAGGAGATGGCATCCTCCTGTACCTCCAACGAAGCCACATGTACAACGTGCCTTTTCAGAAGAGTGATAGCAACAGGAAAGATTTGGGGATGACTTCTATCTCCACCGGTCCTTACAGATTTACCATGTTTGTCTTAGATGGAAACATTAAGTACCAGAAAAAGTCATAGGCCTGCATTTCTGGAACAGAAGGGCTTCCAGCTAGGCTTAAATCCCTGAGCCCTAACAACTTGGAGAGGCAATTTCTTTGATGCCCCTCATCAACAATTTCTTTGATGCACCTCAAGGAAAGTGGGGCCAGCCAGGCAGCGTGTGGATGCTGGGACGCGGTGCTGACACGGCAATGACCGCTGTGACTGCTATGCAGAAGGAGCTCAGAGTTCTCCCCTGCACTCACTCTGTCATCCTTCATCTCCTGTAACACTGATGTTTTCCTCTTATCTCTTGGGACGATCCTTCTCTGGTTATTTCACTGGTTCCATTTCCTCCTTCTGCCCCCAGACGGAGAGAAAGTGTGGTGTGAGTTTGCACGAGGTTGCATCCTGCCTCTACCTCTCACTGTTCGTGTGACCTCAGGCATGTTACTGTTCTCCTCTGGGCCTTAGGTCTTCATCTGTAAGACAGGGACCCCGGAGGCACCTCCCTCATGAAGTTCTTTGGAGTGTCAAATATCCTATGTGAACACACTTAGAATAGTGCCTGACACACTAAGCACTCAGTAAACATTAGCTATTATGGCTACTTGCCAAGGTCACGGCTGGAGGCCTTCTCTCTATGCTTTGTCCACCTGAGACTCCACCTATCTCCTGAGTCAGCCACCCCTACTCCTGGATGATTCTCAGTCCTGAATCATGATGGCTGTCTTAGCTATCCACCTTTATTGCAAATCAACTCAGCCTGGGGTTATCTTACTGACCTTACTTAGGCAGCCTTGGACAAGTCCCCCAAGCTCTTTGAGCTCCTATCTCCTCACATGTATAATGAAAGGTTAGATTGAATGTTCTTTAACTCCAAAATTCTACTACTCTGATCCTATCCCCGAAACACTGTCATTGTCTTGTTTTTCAAGCCATTTCTCCCTTTGGATTAAAAAAAAAAATCTACTTAGTGGTGACAGCCTCTTTCCTGTTTCAAAGCCTAAATCTGAGTATTGTTGTAGAATTAAGCTATTCTCCCTATAGCCAATCAGGTGTCACCTCTGGCAAGAGAGTTATTATCTTCCTCCCTTTCCATGGCTCTCTGCAGCCAGCTACCACCCTAGTTAACTCCCTTTACCCCTTTATGTTTGAATGACACTGCTGCTTTCCTAATTGACCTTCCATGTTCTGGTTTACCATTCATCGATTCATTCTTTTACTCTTTTTTGA